ACAACACCAGTCTAGTCAGGTGGTCTAAGGACCTAAGTTTACTTAGGAAATGTTTTCCTGCTATGAAGCTTAAGATGTTTCTGGCAGCCACACCGACTATTTACCATGTTACCCTAAGGTCATCGTTGGAATTTTATCATTTTTCAAGTTGAAATATTGTATTAATCCTTTAATGTCTAGATGACACACAGCTCATTCCGTGCCAGGGTTGACAGTGTACTTCCTTTTTACTGGTTCGATTGTAACAACCCGGGAGACGTTTCAGGGACGTTGAATTTATTTAATAGTGCGCCTAATCAATCTAAACAGCAGTGCATGCGATAATAAACAAAGGGTAACGCGTACAAATAATGGTTAAATTATACAAAATGATTACATAATGGAGAAAAACGTAATAAGTTACGGGAAATAGATAAAAACAAATCCTTTATGTTTCTTTAAAAAAAATATCACACGGTTCTCATATCCCGAGCGTTAACAAAAAGATAATGTAATTGCTGTGCCAGTCTAATAGAGTCAATCTAAGACGTAAATATATATGAAACAAAATGTGATTATATTATATCTTAGGCTTTACTTTGTGGATTAAATAGTAACGAGAAGTATACGTTATTGTGTAAATTAGAGGATTAAATAGTACCAAAAGTTACAAATGAGATAGTTTGTAGATTAAAAGGTACCAAAGTTACAATTGTGATAATTTGCTAATAAAAAAGTAAAAGAATTACAATTGTGATAATTTGTGAATTAAAAAGCACTCAAAGTTATTACGACGGTTGGTAAACTAAAAGTACGAATGATTACTGCTTTTTATGAATTTGGCGTGTTCCAGTCAACTCAGCTGTAAATGAGTACGTGGTTCGGCAGTGCTAGAATTGTAGAATGCTAGCTGTGGGCGCCGAAATGGCAGCTCCGTCTGTATGCTCCCATGGAAGTTGATAAAGATATTCGCTGGTTGCAAAGGCCCCATAACCACGGATAATAATTTGTGAACCGCTTGAAGACGACCTACGAAGTAGGTTGTAATAACGCGGTAAATAAGAACCTCGAACTATTATTATTAGTAGTATTACGTTTGTTGGTAATTAAGTAGCAGATTATAAAAAGAATGCAGATAGACAGTTTAACGAAAGATGTATAAACTGAACTTTCAAATTAGTTCCGCGTCATATAATTGGATAAAAGATATAACCTATGTAATTGAAATAAAACAACCGTCTACTCAGAAAAATATTAGTTCATGTATATATGTTACAGAGTAGACTATGCCAATGTATTTTGTACTTTAAAAGTAAATATATGGCATTTTAAGTAATAAGGAAACTTTATGCAGGCAGCCGGAACAACAAGACGATAATAGTTAGTGAATTGAATACATAATCTATTGACAACAGGATGGAAATACCACGGTTACATGGTAAATGTTTATATTATCTTAATAATAATGACTAAACCAAAAACTATAAAGATAGATACAATGTTATACCAAGGGCTACTTATTTAAGTTCTGTCATTAGTAAACTACGCGTGTTCGTTTCAAATTACATGATGCATGCGACACAATTAAGTAAAAAGTTAAAAAATAAATAATGCACAATTTTCATGAAATTTGTTTCATATGTTGAAAGAAAGTAATGAAGACACATGCTAGCTAACATAGCAACAATGTTAAATATATATGATCTAAATTGATGATTTGACATGGTTATATGTTGTACCTGACACTCTGTCAGTAAGCACACGTTTTATGGACAAAGTACGCCCTCCGTTTCTGATCTCTGCAATCTGACCATCATTATAATGAGAGTTGCATGGTTGATATATCACAGGAATTCCATAATGGTATACCAACATTATTGTGTTAACCTGCTATACAAAATACTAGTGAAGGCATAGCGACGTTTGCTGGTGTAATGTCGTCGAGTAATTGATATCAGAAGGATGTCTTGCTTCTTACAAAATCTCGTAAAATATAGAAGTATGTAACTAAATACCATTTACCATAAAATACAGAAAACCCTATTTCTTTATATTTCAATGCTTCATAAACTAGCAATGTGTGCATCTTCTCGTATTTCTAAGCTGACTGTTCACTTGGAAATCTTCCGGTCGCCGAAGTGTGAAAAGTGTCGTGCCATCTTTTTTGCAAGCTAAGGGTCATTCAAACGTATGATACATTTGCCAATAATGACACGTTAAGGGACGACTCAAGTCTCGAACGAGCAGTCATTCAAAGCATCATAAAAGAGGGTTTAGCTTGTTTGTATAAACGGTCAACGTCGTACACGGAATCTTATAGAAACCGATACCGAAACTAAATTGTCTCAGTCAACAATTGGAAAAATAGAGTAAAACTCGTCTCGGTGGCAACTTAAATTAAACAATTAATTGATATCAGAAGAATGTTTGGGATTAGTACAGTGACTTCTGTCATAATAGTGACTGGTATAAAAAACACGCTTTAATCGACTTCAGCATGCATACCATTATTCTGTAATTAATTGTGATGCCATAGACAACTATATTGTTTGCCCAATAATGTTAAATAGCATTCATTAAGGCAAAAACAATGCTATGACATCATATCCTATCAAGCTGATCCAAAATATCGATACATGTGCTGATAAGAAACATAATTTTTTTAATATCTCATAATTAGCTTACTATGATAGTTTGACCAATCATTTAAGCTTTGGAGATAAACACAAAGTGATTTGAAGTATTTCAACCTTGACAACACATTTACAGAATACTCAGTTTTAATACAAAGCATGTGTTTAAAATTAGCAAAAATCAGGAGCGAATACTTATTCTTGTAATTATTGTATATCATCAAATTAACAGCTTACTTCATGTATATTGAAAAAAGAAGTAAATGAAAAAAGATCTTGTCACGATTCTGTACCTTCTACTTAAACTCGTTCAAAGCTTTAACACACACTGTCCTATAAGCTAACTGGGGCTCACACTATCTACATTTTACTTTTTATTTTATTTTATATCAATGTCGCTGTTATGTCAGATGCCACCTATTGTGTAGTATAGTCGTTAGTCTTAAAGCCGTACGTAGAAGTGATATAGATCACCAATCGATATGGACATTCAACACCCAGAAAGAGTCTAGCCGACCGGCACATCGTGACCGTACAATCTGACCGGTATTATGTGGCAATCGTGTGATTATGGATTACCTATCCGCCTACCATATGTGACAAGGGAGATACTTTACTGGCCTGGTATCATACATATAGTCTACAAATATTTGCAGTACGCACAGTTGGTTGATGAAATAACAGATTTAGATATTGGTGATATATTTTTCTTGACATTGCACTTTAATAATCACCAATCCTGTCGCAATGACGGAAACATACCGCGCATTCCTCAATCCGGTGCAAATCCTTTTTGAGATAGAGTTCCGAGAAAAACGAATACACTATGACAAATCACATCCTTTAACACACCCATGCATATATAGGATTTGAAGTAAAAAGAATAAATAAATAATCCTTAATAAATAATCGCTGATAGGTGAAGTCCGAGTTACGAAGTATGAAGCGTAGTATATCGCCCATCTATAAACATTAGTTTTAAACTTTGGTCTGACAGTCTTATCTAGCATTCGCATGGTACATTAACAACGACAATGGATTAATAGACTAAATTATCAAGCAATCATCATATATGATAGGAGAAATAGGATTGTCCATTTAAATCTCACTAAATATGTGTGACATCTCATTTCACGAGTCCAAATAATGTTTATATGTCGTACGAAAAACGCGGTTTAGACATTGCTTACTCTACTCACAACCTCAATCTGTTCCAGCTCAACCAACTTTGGTTAACATTAGTGTTTATATAGCTCAAACAGAAAATATGTGACTGAACATGCATTAAAGAATGCCTAAACAGAATCACAAATTGGTATTGTAGCTATATTGTAATCTTTTTAAGTAAATTGATCATGTCATTCCTTAATTTTCAACAGATTTTACTTTTAATAAAACACAACAATAATAAGCCATGTTTTATCATTCAACCAAGTGAATGAGACTTAAGCTTTAAACATGAACTCTTGGACAATGCTGGGGTTGTTAAAGACCTATCCCTACTACAGCGGGACCACCACCTCCACCACACACACACACATACACCTATTTAACAAATACACCAACAATGCCTCACATCATAGCGCAGACCTTCTATGATCTCCTCTGCAAACACTAGGACCCCAGTTCTAGTCACAGACAATACTCTGTGCTGTTTGATAAGGAAAGAATACCAATGTTTGCCTTTCAATAGTCAATGAATTGGATGACATATCGAAGAATGTTAGCTTCTGTTGGCATTAATATATGTCGTTGGTCTGTAGAGACTTGTTCTCAAGTCGGTGCCACGCCCAGACATAATGGGGTCAAACTGCGAAGACCGGTTTTCTAAGCCTTCGCGGAATACTAACACAGAGACTAACCCTTCGTATTATCGGGATTCCCTTAACATGCGGTCGGACGAACTGCATCCCAAAACTAACTATCACAAAATAACCTTGATGATAATTGATAAGTGTTTGTTATGTTTAATTTTATAGAGTATTGTTAATTAGATCCATATACATGCTTTTATAAGTAGGGGAAAAAAATATGGATTGGCTATGTGTGAGAACTATTCTCTTCTGTCAATACGTACTGTGGTCGATAGTTCAGCCACTGACTATATCGACTGTAAGATAACTGGTTGATATTTTTATAGAATCATGTCAGACGAGAACCGCTCATTTATAATATAATAGCTATTAATACGAATATAATAAAACAATCTATACGCTAATAAAGTATTTGGATTATCCATAGAATTATGGTTGAGCACCACGCCAAATAGCAATATTATCAATGTAGAAATCGATAGAAACTTCATCAACATACTAACATGAGCCGGTAATGGTAAACTAACATGCTTGTATACGTCTTACTAATAGTATAAAGCTAATAGGTACTTACCTTATTACCAGTCAGTCGAATGTATTTAATCCAGAAGTATACAAATTTATAAGTTAACTTATAATCCAAATTCAAATTTTTTTTAGGAATGTTTCACTTAAAAGTTCCAGTAAATCGTTTTACGTCCCACAAGTCATCGAAAGTAGCGAAATCAGGAACACGCGTGCGACGGACGACTACATGAATGTCACTACACCGTACCATTCATTGAACACATACCCGGAATCGAGAGGCGGTCATCAGGAACGGGTCTCTGCCCATATATTTTATCACGATTTTACGTCACCAACTTGTTTAATGCTAAGACGGTGTTTAAATTTGGACGCACAGTGTTTCGGAGTCGTATGATTTTCCGTATTTATGAATATCTCACCTACAGTGACAAATTGCTAAACTCAGTGAATTGTATACGCTACCTTCTGTGATAGTTACCCGTGTACGGATGCACTAGTGTATAATGATTTCTTAACACTGCGGTCGATGGGTACATGAACGTAGTTATACAGGTAGATAAGCTATAACAATACACATCTGGTTGCATAATTATTTATTTTATTACTCAATCTTTATATGGGTTTTATGCATTTTGTTAAACTGTCATTTGTTCATGTTTTTTACGTGTAGATATACAATATATAACATTCTGTTTAGGTGTAACCAGGTAACACTCTCCAAGTACTGCTTTATTAGCCTTGTAAACATGCAGCCCTATAGCTTGTCTAATTAGATCAGATATACAGAGGCACTGTTAACGGAGGACCTAGACGTGGACAGAGATTTCACCGTTTCTGGATGTTAACACGTTCACAAAGGACATTGAATATATGAGAACAGGTGATACTCTAATCAAATAGTTACTACTGTCCCTAGATTGCCACTTTCTATACGAATGACCCTAATTAAATTTCAAACATTAGTAGACTCCGACGCCGGGATTCGAACCCAGGCCTACCACCACATTATGATTAAAAGGATACCAAATGCTACACAATCAACGGCAGTAGACTACGGCTGATAAGTAACAGCTAATATTACGCATGACGCCTTTTAAATAAAGTTATGACGATGACGCTTCAAAAGAGCGCGAACATAGAAGACTAATGCCGGGTATGTGGAGATGAATCAGATAAAATATATCACGACTCATCACAACATTATTACAGTGTCCCTTCTATAAAGTGTATTACACTAATTACATATATAAGTTGTACATATATTTATATGGGATCTTAATCAAAAACAATCTTTTTAACACAGAATATATTTGGTTTTAAATAGAAGTGTGTATTTGCAATGCAATGCCCTATTTGAAAGGAAAAGTGTGTGTACATTTGCTCTAGATTTATGAAACGCTCTCATCAAGTATGACAGGTAGGTACATAACACATAGAACACATTACGGGTTACAGGGTGTTAATTAAATTGAGATTCAAACATGCAACAGACTACAATATGTTACATGTAATAGTAAATCCTCCAGCTGTATGTAAATCAATGCTTGATTTTCTCGGTGACCAATACTGGGGTCACTCATCTGATTTATCATTACAACTAAATATTACACAGAAAGTTGACGATTTGTTTTAATGAAAATAAAATCTTAACCATAAGCCAAAACAGTATATTAACAACAGAATGAAAAAGAAAATGCTAACAAAATAGGAAAACTGCCATGAAGTCAAACTAAGAAACCTAGATGAAACAAGATGCTGCGGATAGGTAAACAATTTCATGCACAAATTAGGGTCTCCTTCACAATATCCCGTCAAGTCTAGGACGGTGTGTCGGCCACAAATCTGTAATGGCAGACACTGTAACCCAGAAGTAGACAATGACCTTATAATTTAAAACTACGATCCGGAGTATAGCCTTAGGAACCACCTTTAACAACTCAACCAGTTGAATATATATTCAAGGAAACTTGCTATCATTGATGTACGACTGGTCTACACGTGCCACTGTGTGAATGTCTCTTTTAACACTTTAGACAGTCGAATCATTTTTCAGAAAAGATACCGATGCTATTAAACAAATGTAGATCATCTTATCGCTATACCGTGTTTCACGATCAGAGTTAACGACTGTCTGGTAGGAAGCCATATAACATTGATAATAAAGGGTAACGTATGTGATCACTGTGTCTAGAGGCCAGTCGATCCTCTTAAAGAGTTGCTAGAATATTCAAGGCTTGACATAGATTATAAAAAGGATTCGATAATTTATTCATTGCAAAAAGTATTTGGAGGTAAAGTTCAGTGTTATTAAGAATCCGAAATGACTCTCTGCTCCTTATCTACGTACAACGAGCAGGCCTACTTTACTGTCTGACAGATGGTTTTTTAATACAAACATGTGTCTATGGAGTGATAATATTTGTTAACATTTTGTTTTTAAATTTCTTTCGGATTGAGAAAACTAGGAACTTTTGTTTATCATCACACAAAACAACTTTTCTTTTGTGCTTTATATATGAGGATGTGTCTGTTTAGTATGGTTTAACATGAAATAACAGTCATGTTTCTAAACATGAAACAATAATACTGCATATACATAGCTTTCATTTTCCTTAATGAAATCGGTATGATAAACCTGTTTTGTGATATAGCTTATCAATTGGTTCTTAATTGCACTTGTAGCTAATGCTACCTCTCGTGATTGACTCACCCCAATTAAAAAATAGGAGTTTGATTTCCTTATTCCTGCTGAATGTTAATCTTGGTTTTTCTTTAGGTTTTTCAAAAGGGATTCCCCATACACTAGTATAAGTTCTTTTACTTATCAAACGGCAAGTTATTATGGTTTTCACAAAACAACATGTCCTATGGGGAAAGTAGGTGATATTTCCTTATATATAATACGACAGTGCTCTGTAAATAAAACTTAAGTTGCGTGATTTTATCAAGTTACATTCTTATTATCATATTTTTTTTTTGTCCTGGTTGGGGTTTTAACATTAAACATAGTAACTTATACATGGAATGCATATCTTTGTGTTGTATGTTTCCAGGTTGTCGAAAACTTTTATTATCTATTGACTGTATAGGACCAATTTACTTTCTTGATCAGACTTGAGACTACGTGTCAGTTTCGATATTTATTTATTTCAAATTAAAATTTGAATTTGTCATTTTCTACCGATTCTTTAATATGAAATATATGTCAATAAAGCTGAAGACGCTGACCTTTTCAGAACACCTGGTCTTATCCTTATTGTACATTGTTTAGAGTCGTCATACACACGTTTTTATTATTATTTTGGCCTCTTGTTTATTCCTAATGAGTTTGAGTAACAGTTTTGTTAATATTTCGTTTTTTTATTAATTGATTGAATATTTAGTTCAAGTATGATATACAAGATCTTTATCACAAACAGCATTAAACATTGAAAAATTTCTATCTTTCGTAACCATTTGAATGTTTTAATGAATAGCTAAGCTATTAATCTGGTTGGTGAGCATACGATGGTAAGTCCATACAAATCAAAGAGTGTGTCGCGCCTTCAAACCTATTGTTTTGAACTATGATTACAGCGACCCAATTTTAATCATGAAAGGTTGTGAATTCAAACAGTAAAACACAAAAATTAAATCAGAGTAAGAGCGAACGAAAGGATTTTGAAAAAGATTGAAATCTTTAACGCAGATGAAAAACAGAACAACAAATGAATGCAAATATAGTGCAGCGTAGAACGCTGAGCGTGGATGCGTGACATCAGAAAGTGAATAGAAGTGGGAAGAACAATGTTATCAGTGTCAACGTTACACATAGTTCACATATACACATATAGTAGTTCTTGGTTTAATATTCATTTATCCAGCCACAAAATGATGCAGCCAGAGTAACGTGCTTATATACATTATAACCAATGTAACGTGCTGATATACATTATAACCAACGTAACGTGCTTATATACATTATAACCAGTTTAACGTGCTGATATACATTATAACCAACGTAACGTGCTTATATACATTATAACCAGTGTAACGTGCTTATATACATTATAACCAATGTTACGTGCTTATATACATTTTAACCAGTGTAACGTGCTTATATACATTATAACCAATGTAACGTGCTTATATAAATTATAACCAATGTAACGTTCTTATATACATTATAACCAATGTAACGTTCTTATATACATTATAACCAATGTTACGTGCTTATATACATTATAACCTGTGTAACGTGCTTATATAAATTATAACCAATGTTACGTGCTTATATAAATTATAACCAATGTTACGTGCTTATATACATTATAACCAGTGTAACGTGCTGATATACATTATAACCAGTGTAACGTTCTTATATACATTATAACCAATGTTACGTGATTATATACATTATAACCAATGTAACGTGCTTATTTACATTATAACCAATGTTACGTGCTTATATAAATTATAAACAATGTTACGTGCTTATATACATTATACCCAGTGTAACGTGCTGATATACATTATAACCTGTGTAACGTGCTTATATAAATTATAACCAATGTTACGTGCTTATATAAATTATAACCAATGTTACGTGCTTATATACATTATAACCAATGTTACGTGCTTATATACATTATAACCAATGTAACGTGCTTATATACACTATAACCAGTGTAACGTTCTTATATACATTGTAAACAGTGTAACGTGCTGATATACACTATAACCAGTGTAACGTGCTGATATACATTATAACCTGTGTAACGTGCTTATATAAATTATAATCAGTGTAACGTGCGTATATACATTATAACCAGTGTAACGTGCTTATATACATTATAACCAGTGTAACGTGCTGATATATATTATAACCAGTGTAACGTGCTTATATACATTATAATAATAATAATAATAATAATAATAATAATATACAACATTTATATAGCGCTCTATATAATTTGTAAACTTTCTCTAAAACGGTTTACAACATATATGTATAAATAATAGTAATGGTTAAAATTGTGAACACAATGAAAAAACATAGGCTTACAATCACTTTTATACATTTAAGCAAGCAATATGCACATAATTGAACAAATAAAAGGGTGGCATTTACATGACGTCTTTGCAAGGATCAAACCTCGGGGACTGAAACATCCACCCGCAGACTCTAATACTTTGTACTACAAAATGATAAACAGCTCCTCGGCGTGTGTAACGATAGTAAGGTTTCCTTCGGTAAGTAGTATCACTGAAGTGTTTACGTGTCACTGTTGATTGATGCTTCTCATCATGTTCCAATGTCCTTGCTCTATGCTTCAATCTAACTCTACAGAAAAAATATCTATTCAAATATGACGCCGGATTGACACATTGCGGCATATTGGTGCGCAGCTTGAATTGTATCACAGGTCCTGATTTCGAAACGGATCTGAGATGAGAGATTGATCTTTTCAGGATACGATGGCCATGTACCTTTTCCCCAGTGTACTCTATTTCAG